GGCTTCAGGCAATCCACTCACCTCAGCCTCCCAAAGTGCTGGGATTACAGACTGAGCCATCAAGCCAGCCTCAGTAGGTTTTTAAAAGCCATTTTGGGGCCACGCTTGGTGGCTCAGCCTGTATTCCCAACACTTTAGGAGGCTGAGGCGAGTGGATTGCCTGAGCTCACGGGTTTGAGACCCGCCCGGGCAACTTGGCAAAACCTCGTCTCTACAATAAATCAAAAATTAGCCGGGCGTGGTAGTACGCGCCTGTAGTTCCAGCTCCTTGGAAGGCTGAGGAGGAAGGATCGCTGGAGCCTAGCAGGTCGAGGCTGTGATGACCAGGAGTGTGTCACTGTCCTCCAGCCTGGGTGACAGAGTGAGAATCCAACTTAAAAAAAAAAAAGGCTGGGTTTGGTGGCTCAACCTGTAATCCCACGCCTTGGGAGGCTAAGGTGAGTGGTCGCCTGAACCCGCAGGTTCGAGACTCGCCTGGGCAACTTGGTGAGACCTCATCTCTACAATAAATTAAAAAATTAGCCGGATGTGGTAGCACGCCTGTAGTTTCAGCTACTTGGAAGGAAGAGGCGGAAGGATCGCCAGAGCCCAGGAGGTTGAGGCTGCGGTGGCCAGGAGCGGCCACTGCACTCCAGTCTGGGTGACAGAGAGAGATGGCAACTCAAAAAAAAAAGTCATTTTGGGCCAGGCACGGTGGCTGAAGCCTGTAATTCCAGCACTTTGGGAGGCTAACGTGAGGGGATTGCCTGAGCCCATGAGTTCAAGAACAGCCTGGGAAACTTGGCAAGATCTCATCTCTACAATATATCAAATAATTAACCAGGTGTGGTAGCATGTGCTTGTAGTTCTGGCTACTTGGAAGGCTGGGGTGGAAGGATTACCTGACCCCATCAGGTTGATGCTGGGTGACCATGAGTGTGCTACTGCACTCTGGCCTCGGCAATGGAGTGAAACTCCACCTCAAAAAAGTCATTTTGACATTCTTTATAGCCAGGTCTCCTGGAGGTACCACAAACAAAAATGAAATGTAGAATAGGGGAGCATTTCTGCAGGATTATTCTGAATTCTGGAAGTGCTATCTATTTACTTGCTGTTCTTTTTCTCTTCATTAGAGAACTATATACAAGCTGTGGAGGAGTTCCAGTCTTGTCTAAACCTGCAGGAGCAGTACCTGGAAGCTCACGACCGTCTTCTTGCAGAGACCCACTACCAGCTGGGTTTGGCCTTTGGGTACAACTCTCAGTATGATGAGGCAGTGGCACAGTTCAGCAAATCTATTGAAGTCATTGAGAAGAGAATGGGTGAGTGAGCACTAGCTGCTTCATGATGATGCTGGTGGATCCAGCAGTTGAAAGGTTTAAAAAAATGGTTGTTTTATGGTAACTTACCACTTTAGCCTGTTCTTTGTAGCTGTACTAAATGAGCAGATGAAGGAGGCTGCAGGATCACTAACGGAATACAAGAAAGAAATTGAGGAGCTGAAGGAACTGCTTCCTGAAATCAGAGAGAAGATAGAAGATGCAAAAGAGTCCCAGCGTAGTGGGAATGTAGCTGAATTGGCTCTGAAAGCTACTCTGGTTGGTTTGGCTTCCTTTTAGGTTTTGATAATAGTGTGTCTGGTACCACTAATGTTAATGTTCCATTTGCTAGGAACTTTTTGTTATGACTTAGTTTCCTGGAGTTGATAAGCTGCTTAATTATTTCTGTTAAGTAATATAGTTGTTAAGAGAATATCCTCTGAAGCTCCAGACTGTCTGGGTTTGAATTCCATCTCTTACTGCATGTGATCATTGGCATTTCTCAGCCTTAGTTGGCCCATCTGTAAATTGAGGATAGTACACGTTGAGCATTCTTACCTGAAATTGTTGGGACCAGAAGTGTTTTGAATTTCAGATGCTACTGAATTTTGGAATATTTGCGTTATACTCAACAGTTGAGTGTCCCTAATCTGGAATGCTCTAATGAGCATTTCCTTTGAGTGACATGTCAGTACTCCAAAAGTTTCAGATTTCCAGATTGGGAGTGGAATATTCAACCTATAGTACACATGTGTAAAATACTTTTGACAGTACCAGAAATATAAAAATTTCCTAACAAAAACAAACTAAATAGTTAAACTATGTAAATATCTCTGAGAACTTCTTTAGTGAGGCATTGAGGGATTTTTCACTTCAGATTTCTTGGCTTTTCTTTTGGCTGTATGTGGGGATGCCAGAGAGCTTTCTACTCTGTAAGTAGAATATGGAAGATTTAGTTTATTATCTACACTCTGCCTATGTCCTGGGTTGGAAATAGAGAGGTGCAGGTACGGTGGAGGTTGGGCAATCTTGATATTTTCTGGAGGCCACTAGCATTTCAGGTCTTAATCAGTTACTTGGATGGTGTTGGGTACCTGTTTTAAGATGGTAGGTGGCCTGGGTTCAATCCTAAAACCAGCTTGGGTTTCTTGTCTCACAGGTGGAGAGCTCTACTTCCAGTTTCACTCCTAGTGGAGGAGCCTCTTCAGTTGCCATGGTAGGTATTCAGGTGTTATCACTTAATGGTAAGCTTCAGGGTTGGCTTCATATAGCTTGTATATTGCTAATAATGGCTTCTTTTTTGCCAGATTGCCAGTAGAAAACCAACAGATGGTGCTTCCTCATCAAATTGTGTCACTGACATTTCCCATCTTGTCAGAAAGAAGGTAAATCTACAGATAGTTATTTCTTTTCTACCTTTTCACAGTCTGCTTTTTTTTTTCCCCCCAAATGATACATGAGTTACTTTACCTACACATCTTCCAAATAGTTCGTGCAAAAAGACCTTATTTTGCAAATTTGGTTGAGGATTTGTGAGTAAAGACAGTTTTCACTTGAATTTGTCTAGCAACCTCTCCTGGCCTTTTTCAGTCCAAGAAGTATTCAGGAAAGCTACTGAGGAGGTTTGGTGAGATGAGCCCATTTTAGGAAACTAGCAGGTTTTGACAGCAGTCGTTGAGCAGGCCTACTGCTACCTGAGTCCTGAGTCTGCTTTCTAGAGTTGTAACTCCTGGTTTGTTTCTGGACTGAAAGCACAGGAACTCAGACTTGTACTTGTACTTTGGTTACCATTTTACATCTACTCTTCATCCCACTGCGCTTCAAAGTAGGGAGGCAAGGATTGATGATGGGACAGGCTAATTTATTCTGGAATGTACAGCTAGGGAGAGAGACCTTCAGAGCTGTGAAATTCTGGTGTTCAAGATATTTGCACCATGAGGATTAAGGAAATGTTTTGCAGTTTCCTTTTTAAAAAGATTAAGCATGTTTGTGAAGCCTTCACAATTCTATCTTTAGAGGAAACCAGAGGAAGAGAGCCCCCGGAAAGATGATGCAAAGAAAGCCAAACAAGAGCCGGAGGTGAATGGAGGCAGTGGGGATGCTGCCCCCAGCGGAAATGAAGTTTCGGAAAACATGGAAGAAGAGGTGGGCAGTTAAGCAGGGCTTGAGCCCTTATCCCTTGTTCTCAGGACTTGGGCAAACCCGTCCTCCCAAGTGCATGCTCCCAACCTTGATCTTTTTGGATTGTTGATTGCAACCCTCACAGAAACGGTTAATTGTGCAGGAAACAGTTTGGTTATGGGAGTGTAGAATGATTCACTGACAAATGGAGCGTTATACCACAGGTCCCTGCAAAGAACACAGGGGTAGGCCGGCAAGATCATCAGGCCACTTGTGCTTGCTCCTTTCCATGTAACACGTGATCATTGGCCCCGTCAGCCCTGTCACCACAGAGAATTCAGGAAATGGCCTGGTACTTTGTGGTCAGTGCCTTCTTAGTGTAGGGATCCCAACCTTTGGGCGACCTGTATTCACTTCTTTTGACAGACCTGCTTGGTTACATGAAATAGAATGGCTTAAACTAGGGTCACTCATACCCAGGCTCCATTTGTCTTCCAGGCTAAGAATCAGGCTGAAAGCCAGGCAACAGTGGAGGGGACAGTGGAGGCTGGAGCTACAGTTGAAAGCACTGCATGTTAAGAGGGGGCAGAGCCTTCCTCCCAAGGGAAAGCGTTTTTGTATATAATGTATTTTTTCACTTTGGGGGGATTCTTTTTGTATAACTTCAATAAAGATTGTAAGCAAAGGTTGAGGCTTTGATGGTTTTTTTTTTTTTTTTTTTTTTTTTTTAATGGCGGAATCTGTGCCTTGGAGCACTCCAGGTTTTATCTAGTGGCCAATGTTATTTTTTTCTTTTTTGGCGTTCTGCACTGTTCTCTGTGTTGGAAGTTATAATCCCAATTCCTGTCTTTCTTATGTGGAAGTGATCAAGTCAAGTGTGGCTGTAGGCACTTTGTCTTCCAACGGTGCTATGTTTTTTTCTGTTTTCAAATACTTGACTGAACCCAGCTGTTTGGCAAACCTTCATTGGTGCTGTCCCTGGAAAGGGATTATAAAAACAAGACGTGAAGATCTTGGCTCTTTGGTGCTGAAAATGGATGATGGACTTTGGCTGTGAGCCAGGCTTTTGGTGGTACTTGTCTCATATCCACGTAGTCTTCTACTGGGGCCATAATCCTATCCTGGAAAAAGAACTCTGAAGAAAACTTGGGGGAAATTGAACCCTGAGGAAAACAGTCTCTGTGTTTAATTGTATAGAATTGAACTCTGGTCTGAAAGTGGCTGAGGGCCATGATGGTGATGGACATTTGGGATGTGGTTGGAAGAATCTTTGGGGGAGGCTGGTTGAGTTATATTTGTTATTTTCTGTATAGAAAGGTTGAAATATATCAACATTTGGAATTGTTACCCTGTCTACAGTTTCTCAAATAAAGATGCTAAAAAGACTCCTTCCCTGGAATTGTGTTTAATGATCTTACAGTGGATTCTGGGCTGCTTGGAGCATTTCAGTGTGAGCTTGAGTTGAAAGGGAGAAAATAGCCCAGCAGTTCCAGTTGTCTAGTCCAAGTATGTGGGTGTTCAGGGGATTGGTAATAATGCCAGCCCATTGGGCTCTTACTGGTGTTGGGTGCGTGCAAGGGGTCATTCATGAACCTGACAGCTGAGCTGCTTCTAACTTGAACCTTAAAGGACCTATTAGTGACCTGGCACTACTTGGATTCGAATTCCAAACAGTGCTGCTTTATATAACCCAAGAGGATTTAATAATCCTGACATCCAGAGGGCTACTTTGTTGCACTGGTTAGAACTTGCTATTTTAACCATCCAGGGTTGAAGGCAAAGGGAGCTGTGCTCACCCTCAATTCAACTCGGTTTTTCAGGGTTGGTTTTTTTTTTTTTTTTGAGTTGGAGTCTCACTCTTGCCCATGGCCACCACAGCCTTGGGCTGCTGGGCTCAGGCCATCCTTCTGCCTCAGCCTTCCAAGTAGCTGGAACTACAGGCATGCGCTACTACGTCTGGCTAATTTTTGATTTATTGTAGAGATGAGATCTTGTCACGTTGTCTCGCCAAGTTCTTGAACCCCTGAGCTTAGGCAAGTTTCTGGGCTAGCCACAATAAGTAGTGGCTGCAGAACCCATGGCTTATCTTGCCTTTGAACTTTTTTCCTGAAGATTCCCTTGTGTAGGCTTCCCCCCCACCCGTCAGGACACATGACATACTTGACTTCCAGGTCCTAGACTTCCTTTAGTTGACATTGGGATCTGGGGCTGGGCCTAGTGTCTGATTTCAGCTGGATCTTACACGTGGCCCCCTACTTGAGGGGAACATTACTGGGCTGGAGCCGTACCCTGGAATCGAAGGGCATAAAGCCTCAGGAACTCTGTTTATGAGGACCTTGAGAACTTGGAAGGTTTCCTGGCAGAAGTACTGAGGAAACGGTATTGAAAGGAGTTCGGAAATAAAACTGGCTTTAGCAAAAACCAAGTGGGAATTACTTTAAAGTTTCTTTAGTTGGAATTAAAGAGAGCCCCCAGTTACCTTACATGCTCACTTAATCCTCACATCAATCAGTTTTATGGAAGAAAGCACAGACAGGTCAATACTTGTGGGAGGTGATAAGGCTGTAGTTAGAGCTCATATTTTTTATTCATCTGCTATTTGCTTCTCAACCCTATATAAGAACATGTAATAGTAAAGCTGCAGGTTTGGGAGTAGGCTTCTATCTCTAGGCCCTAGTCCTGTGTATGTTAAGAGGCTCATACCCACATTCACCTGGGTTCAGAAACTCATTGGGGGTGAGTCAGCTCCGGTGAGGACCCAAATCCTCATCTTTATCCTTGACTCTGCTGAGGGGCGCTTCTGCAGGAGGTGGGGGATCAGCAAAGCCAGCTGTGGGGGTGAGGGAGTTGGCTTCCAGTGAAGATGAGCTTGGCACCTGTGAAATGAGAAGGTAGATCTTTAGCAAAAATGTAGAGGTCAAGGGCACAGGTTTTGGAGTTAAGAGTCTCCTTTACCAAGTTAATTTGTTCTTGCTTTGATTTCCTTATCTGTTACATAGTACTTATCTCAGATGCCATGAGGATTAAATGAGTTACACACAGAACACATTTGGTAGTGATTGGTATAGTGGTCAATAAAAGCTGGCTATTAGCCACACCAACTTTATCTGTGGTGTCCCTGGTTCTATTTGGTCCCTCACCGGAGGTGGATACTGGTACTCATGGGCACTTGCTGGGTTGATCTCTGCCAGCGTCTGGACAACTGCGTCTCTTGCATTCACTAGCCTCAGAAAGAGCTCAGCCTGACCTGCCTGGGGAGAGGTGAAATGTTATTGCATCTATACCTTTGAGGAGTATGCCAGTCTCCCTCCTCCACACTCACCTGGGGAATCCCATTCAGCTGCCCAAGGCTAAGGCTGGCATCCAGAGGAAGGGCCCGAAGTGGGAGGCGCCAGTGGCCACTTAGCACTCGCTGGTCTCCATCAAAAAGCATGAGTGAGGCCCAAGCCTTTGACTGTGGTGCCCTAGCCCATGCCAGGTCCTGGCAGGCCTGAAGCTCACAGACCAAGGATACTGACGGTGAGGGTGGCAGTCTAGAAGAACCAAAAAGTAGTGTCAGAAGCCAGGGCTGGAGTTCTTTCTAGGACTGCCCTCCGTGCCAATGGCCTCCTCTGTCTACAGACGTAAACAGAATGAGGGGCAAACTGCAATTGTGGCTGAATACTAGTCGTGATTCCCCCATCTACTGACCTGGGCACAGGCTGCCTGCTGGCAAGGATGGCACAGTTGCCCATAGGCCCAGGAGCTGAAGGTGGGGGCAAGCAAAGGGCTGGAGGCAATGCTGTGGTCCCTCCGGAATTCTTTCCATCCCGTGCCAAGCCAGTGGTAAGCTGCACCCAAATCCAAGAAGCCTCAAGGCCCCGCAGGAAGTCGTAGAAAATGACCAGGCCAGCCCTGGGGGCATAAGTCTAAGCACACAACCAACCAAAGCCTCTCCTCACCCTTCCTCCCCTTAGCCCGCTCCCCAACCCTATCTGGCCGCAGTGGGTTCCAGAAACCAGCAGTGCTGGCCAAGTCACAGAAGCTGTCAAAAGGAGGGAGTAGGCCTCACCCAGGGTCATAGGGTGCAGGGCCCAGCACGTCAGATGTGGGCAGGAGGAAGTGTGGGTTCAAACCCCGGTTCCCGGTCCTTGTTCCTGGAAGCTGCGACTGTGTGGAAGAGGGTTGACTCCAGAAATTCTGACGCTCCCCCAACTGCTCAGAGCAGAGCTGTCCCGCCCCACCCCACCCTCGGGTCCTCACAGCCTTTCCCAAGCCACCCCAGAACTGGACATCTGTGGAGCCTGGAAGAGGCGGCAGCGGGGGCGCCACTGGCGGCGGGAGAAGTAGGGGATCTCTCCTCCACTTCGGTTGTAGGCTGGGCCCCGCCGGGGGTCGCAGCTCCCCGGGTCCTAGGAGGAGAAGAGTTAGGGCGTCCCTGAACTGGATGAAGAAGGTAACTAGCTGAGACCTTCCCTGAGAGCCGAGGTCACAAATGTGTCTGCGGAGTCACAGGGATACAGGGACACACAGACGAGGAATGTGCGTGGACGCCAACAGGGGGCACAAACATGGCTATCATTCCCCAGGCACGGTCCCTCCACTCCACTGTGCCGGGCCTTCTGGGGGCTAGTGGGATGGAGTTGGGGTGCTCACTGACCCCAGGGTGCCCGGCCCGGGCCCCTTGGCATCTGCAAAGCCAGAATTTCTGTCTCCAAGCGCCGGTTTTCGGCCTCCACTAGTAGAAGCTCCTCCGAGGCGGCACTGGCCCTTCCTGCGAGGAACCAAGTCTGACCTGTCATCTTTGACCTCCGAATTGCTCACCCTCAATTCAACTGGTTTTTCAGGGTTTTTTTTTTTTTTTGAGTTGGAGTCTCACTCTTGCCCATGGCCACCACAGCCTTGGGCTGCTGGGCTCAGGCCATCCTGCCTCAGCCTTCCAAGTAGCTGGAACTACAGGCATGCTAGTCTGGCTAATTTTTGATTTATTGTAGAGATGAGATCTTGTCACGTTGTCTCACCAAGTTCTTGAACCCCTGAGCTTAGGCAAGTTTCTGGGCTAGCCACAATAAGTAGTGGCTGCAGAACCCATGGCTTATCTTGCCTTTGAACTTTTTTCCTGAAGATTCCCTTGTGTAGGCTTCCCCCCCACCCGTCAGGACACATGACATACTTGACTTCCAGGTCCTAGACTTCCTTTAGTTGACATTGGGATCTGGGGCTGGGCCTAGTGTCTGATTTCAGCTGGATCTTACACGTGGCCCCCTACTTGAGGGGAACATTACTGGGCTGGAGCCGTACCCTGGAATCGAAGGGCATAAAGCCTCAGGAACTCTGTTTATGAGGACCTTGAGAACTCTCCCATGTCGGGGATCTCTGGACGAGGCTGGACTTGTCAGCTCACACCCCAGCCACGGCCACAAAGCCCACCCAGGACTCCTACCTCGGGGCTTCTGGCCAGACCAATGGCGCCCTCCCGCACGTTCTTTTCTCCCCCAGGACTAAGACCACCGCTGTCCTCCTGTTCACCCTTGCGCGTCCGCGACCGCTGCCGCTCCAGGGCTGACGCTTCCACTTGCAACTGCCAGATCTGGCCCAGAACGCCGAGGTCCCGGCCCCCACCTCGAACGTAGGCCTCACGCAGGGCCCTAGGGCGCAGGGGACAGGAAGGCAGTCTTTCCAGGCCTGATCCGTCCCCCGCCCCAGGCCTATCTCCGGACCGCGGCCCTCACCCGATTTCGGCGGCCAGTGTTCCTGGGTGGGCCTGCAGCACCGGAAAACAGAGTTCTGCTTCTTGCCAGTTCAGCCGCGTCCTGGGGCGGGGGCGACGCGCAGGGAGATCCCGGGTCCGAAACCCGGAGCTTCGGCCGCCGGGCACAGCTTCCAGCGGCGCCGGGGCCCGCGCTCGGCCC